TAGGGGATTGAAGTAAACGCCGGCTCCCCCATTTTTCTAGGATCTGGGAGACAACATATGACCCCTAGCGATCCTAGGCCAGAATAGTGGTCGCGATGCTGGTTCAAATTGAGGGCATGCCAATGCTGGCTATACGAGACACCAAATATAAAATCAATCATCTTCCCGCTGTTCCCTTGGCCTGTTTGAATGGCTTGTGGAGCAGCCGGATGGGAACTTTCAGCTGGAGTCGCAGATCTGTTGGACTGCGGGAATACGCCTGAACCGTATGCGAATGCATATCGGATTGGAGCTTTGAATTGCCACAATATCTGTCGTAGTGCCTCTTTAAACTCCTCGTTGATAATCATGTGCTGATTTACTCCGAAGTTTTTAGAAGGTAGCTCCGAAAATGTCGAGATTGTGAAGTCCGGGTTGTCATACCAATGAGTGCCTGACTCAGACAGTGGAATGGATTGTCCGGAATTTGATGAGGCCGGAGAGACATTCGATGGCGAATTCAAATCTTTAGGCGCAGCAGCATTGAATCCAGGAAGTGGTCCGTTATCGCGATCATGCGGGCTGGGGGACGACTCTGTGGAGAGAGGTCGGTAACATTTATGGCTGTATTGATCTGACGAAAGGGGTGGAATGAAGATGTGGAGGCGGGATGGTGCTGTAAGTCGCGGCCGTATCAGGAGGAACTATTGGGGGCCAGTTAAACCGTTAGCTTACGGGGGTACAATTATAATGGGGGTGGGACATGGAAGTTATACCGGAAGATGGGATACGGCCATGTTGGGGAGACGATGGGGGGACAGCACGAGCTGTAACAGTTCAAGAGAGAGCTACCATGGGCTTTCGATTTCGGTGAGTCCCGGTCAAATAGAGAAAGGTAGAACTAAGCTGCAAAAGCCAAGTCCAATATGGTATTTTCACTGGCAGGTAAGAAAAAAGGACTGGAGGAGCAAAATGACGATTCGGCTTCGGCGAACATCAACCCGTAGAAATGCTGACATAATTTGGTAATCATGTGATTATACATCACCTGACTAAACCGCGTCGGCGCGACAACTCCCAAACAAGTCCTTGGGCAAAAGAATAAACAAACAGGATCCAAGCTTAATTATCCCCTTATTGCCTTCAAACTCTAGATCGATCATCCTCCCATAGAATTGAACGCACCCATGTTTGTCTATTAAAAAAAAAAAAAAAAAAAAAAAAAAAATAATAATTTCTCTATGAGAACAATCGGGATGGAGACCGTTGCTGCTCGGCTCGCCACCTTTTATGCCACTCACGAATCGGCACCGAAGGGTAGAGTATCAAATGCAAAGGCTACAACGCACAGCGTCTGGCCCCATGAAAGACCATCACCCGAAGAGGTAGGTTTTAAAAGAAATTTCTCTTCCACAATTCCTTCTCTACTTCCCAACTAACTGAACCAAATTCCAGCTCGCACATGCCGGATTCTACTACAAGCCCACTCCTCTTAGCCCAGATAATGTCGCTTGCTTCCTTTGTGAAAGAGCCCTGGATGGTTGGGAAGAAGATGATGACCCAGTCACAGAGCATCTGAGACACTCGAGTGAATGTGGATGGGCAATTATGATGGATATCGTGCGGCGGTCTTCGA